TTGTTCAATTTATTACGTTTCTCACTGAAAAAAAAAATGTATGATTTATTTTAAAAAACACAATTGTTATCTATTTTCTATTTTTTTTAGTGAAAAATTGAATAAGTTACAATTATGGGATCGACCTAATTTTTTTGTGGATGAATAAACTAAGTGCCCGACAAATGAAAGGTTCAAATCATCAAAATAGGACCGATAATAGGCCTCACGGGCTCAAACAACACACTCCAGTCCAAAATCTGGACTAGAGGGGATCCCCCTCCTTCGGAAGAAATGTTGTTTTTTAGGGGTCCTTACCCCTATTGACAAATATTATATCGCATCTTACCAAGGGATGATCATGCTACTAATGTTTGAATTTTATTCCTTACATATTTGTTTGGGTTTTTCTTTTATACTTTTGAATTTTTTTTTTTGTATAAATTATATATTATATTTGACTATTAAAATCTATTGAGTTTCATTATAACATCAAATATTATTATTGAAAATAAAAAGTATTACCATAAACAATTTGGAAAAATTACTCATAAATCCCATATTGGGAAATGTTGCTCTATCTAATCCTGAGTGTTTTTTTGTAAACCATTTAGTCCTTTTTATATTTGGTATGGTATCTTTGTTTGTTATATTTTATATTTGGTATGGTATCTTTGTTTGTTATATTGTATAAACATCAATATATTGTATCCCATATTGGTGTATAATGATGTTTAATGAGGTTGAAGATGTAGTTGATATTTGATGATGTTCACAATGTCGTTGATGTTGGTGATGTATGATGATGTAGTTGATGTTTGATGATATTGATGATGTTTTATGCTGTTGATGATGTTGATGATGTTTGATGAGGTTGAAGATGTAGTTGATATTTGATGATGTTCACAATGTCGGTGATGTTGCAGTTGATGTTTGATAATGTTTTATGATGTTGGTGATGTTGATGATATTTGATGATGTAGTTGGTGTTTGATGATGTTTTATGATGTTGGTGTTGTTGATGATGTAGTTGATGTTTTAATGATGTTGATGATATTTTATGATGTTGGTGATGTTGATGATGTTTGATGATGTAGTTGATGTTTGATCAATGTTGATGATGTTTTATGATGTTGGTGATGTTGATGATGTTTGATGATGTTTAATGATGTTTGATGATGTTGTTGGTGTAATTAATGTTGCTGATGTTCAGAAATGAGGGAAATCTAAAAAAGGCCTATAGTGAGCTTTTAACATTCACATAGGACTTATTAGTCTACAAAATAAAAGGCAGGACCAAATAGTTTAACATATTAAAATTTGAGATTTATTGATGTTTTGCCCAAACAATTTACCGATCTATCCTATTCCCACTCTTAGCATACAATATTTCTTGAATCCCCTTTTAGAAAATATTATTTTGAAACATTTAGTTGAAAAGTAGATCATTAAAGATATTTTAAAAATATAATAATACAATTTTATACTAAAAAAGAATAAAAATGATATTGTCGTACCATAATTATTTTTCCCGCACCTTAACACAATTTAACAAAGTTGTTACATTCTTCATTTCATCAATTACATGGCCTAAATTCAGTTAAGGGTGAAGCATTAATAAATTTTAAAATGTGATATTCAGAATGGTTTAGTCCTCCATTTTTACTTACGAACCTAAAAGTCTCATTAAAGTGAAAATTACATAAAAGAGTAGTCACTTTCATGTTTGAATTTAATTTTTAAGAATAAAAGTGAGTTTCTCAAATTGTAAAATTACACATTTAGACAATTTACACTATAGAAGTTTTGGATCGTCCTTCATTCTAAGACAAATCCCACATTATGAACAAAAACCTAACACTCTAATGTAACACTTTTCTAACGTAACACACTAAAAAATTTCTTAGTATACTTTTCCCAAACGTAACAACGTAACACTAAAAAAAACTATTTGGTGTACTTTTTCCAAACGTAATGCTCCAATATGACACACACACACATACACAAAAAATCAATAGTTTACTTTTTCCAAATGTAACACTCAAATCAATGTAAACTCAAACGTAACACTTTAATGTAACATGCTCCAATATAACACACAAAAACATTAAAAAAACATCTCAGTGTACTTTTTTCAAACGTAACACTCACAGTTTGAAATTATACATTTGCCCAAAACTTACTAAGGAATATTTGTACGCCTTTCGGAATGGTTTGAAAAATCTCATATTCTTTTATTTTTTTAGTGTTACATTGAAGTGTTACGTTGAGAAAAAGTATACTAAGAATTTTTTTTTATTTTTTTATTTTATTTTTTTTTTTACATTTGAGCGTTACGTTTGGAAAAAGTGCATCAATTTTTTTTTTTTTTTTTATTTTTGGCTACTGAGAATTACAATAACAAGTTAGAAGCTTTGTTACTCAGCTAAAGCATAAATGGAAATTCATCTAAAATTGCAAAACTCAAAGAACAAATAACACACAAAATCTTAGCTCAACTGGCTTTGCAATAAATATCAAATATTTTGAACAAAAACAGTTACATTTGGGAAAAGTACACTAAGAAATTTTTTTGTGTGTTACATTAGAGTGTTACACTAAGGAGTTTTTATGTGTATTACATTAGAGTGTTACACTAAAAAGTTTTTTTGAAGTGTTATATTAGAGTGTTACGTTTGGAAAAAATAAACTAAGGAGTTTTTTTTGTGTATTACATTTGAGTGTTACAATAAGGAATTTTTTTTGTGTGTTATATTAAAGCATTATACTAAGAAATTTTTTTAGAGTGGTATATTGAAGTGTTACGTTTAGAAAAATACAGTAAGGAGTTTTTTTTATGTGTTACATTAGGATATTACACTAAGATTTTTTTTTTTTTTTTTTTTTTGTGTTACATTGGGGTGTTACGTTTGAGTGTTACATCGGAGTATTATAGTTTGAAATTATACATGTAACCAAAACTTACCGAGTAGTTTTTGTACTCTTTTTGAAATATTTGAAGAATCCCACATCTTTTGGGAATGTTTGAATAATCCCATATTTTAAGTCATTTTTGTAATACTTTTGAAATATTTTCCAAATAAAAAAGATTATATAAAAATTCATCCCAAATTTGATTCTCATATATTGTATACTTACCTTTCTAGCACAAAAGACAAAAAAGATAAGGAACATAATAGAAATAAAGGTATAACTATAAATTTAATTTTTAAATAATATATTAAATTTACCTTTCCAAAATCAATGGGTCTAATTGGTCTATAAAAAATTCTTAGGGCTAACTGGATCACCATTCCTCAAGATGAGATTTATAGGTAAATTTTCCTTCACTTAAAACATACAATTATATAATCCTTCACTTTTAGTTGGAAAATGTGCTGTGTTGAAGAAAGTTGTTCAAACCTTTTTTTTTTTAGATGGCAAAAAGTTGTTTCAAATTTAAAAGAAAATTTTTATGATACACGCCCTTCAAATATGCACATTATAATTAAAGAAAAAAAAATTACATAATTTTATACTTTCTAAGTCATAACTTGAAAAAAAAAATTATAACCAAAGATCTCATAAATCAGAACTAAAATAATGTTATAATTAAAGAAAAAAATTGATCATAAATAAAAAACAAGATGGCATAACTAAGAATGCATAGGATCGCATAAATCATAATTAAAATAATCCTTTTAAATGGTGTGTATTGTAGAATTTCTGGACTTAAAAACATATTAAATTCTTCCTAGAATATTGAAATTAGAAACTTATAGAATTAAGAGTATATTTTCTGGTGTCTAGGCTTCATGGTAATATTTGAGTTTGAATCCCATTTACTATTAAATTTTATAATAGAAATATTAGAAAATCACCATTTAAATATTATAATTCATCCAAAATTATGTGGCAAGACAGATATGTTTTATATGACTAGATTTGTGAAATTGACACTTAACAGATCATACCATTGTTGTTGATCAAATTGAAAGAACCTTTTTTGGAGTCTCAAAAGTTTTTCATAGCATAAACATTAAGACTTCGGAAATTTTGAAGCTACTGCGTCACTACAAAAAATTAAGGTTTTGGGGACCAAAATTTAGGAATAAAATTATTTTTTAGGAATAAAATATTTTTATTGAGAAAAATGTCGTTATTATATTTTTAGTAACGAAAATTGAACATTAGTGATGAATTATTATCTATTTGGGATCAAATTTTTTGTCTCAAAAAATAAACTATTTTGAAACCAAATTATTTTGTCCCTAAAAGTCTATATATTAGTGACATTTTCAAAATTTTGTTGCTAAAAGCCTTGTTTTGACTTTTCGAAACTACTTCATATAGATTATGGGTAGGGGGCTTGGAGCACATTAGTTTTGTTTAGTGGCAAATCTAAAGTAAATCAATCCCTAAAACTTCATTTGGAATACTTGGTGACCAAAAAAACAAAAAAATTGATTAATTAATTTGACGTGGAAATGAAATAATAGAAATAATTGATATTTCTCTTCATTTATAGAGGGAACGGAGAGCGAGTTTTAAAAATCAAATTTTTGTCCCCAAAATGAAGGGAGAAACATTTAGGGACTAATTTTTGTTTAAAAGTCAAAAAATAGACTTTTGCTTCAAAATTTTAAAAATGTTATTAATAAATACACTTTAAAAGAAAACAATTTGGTGCATAAAATGTTCACTTTTTTAGACAAATTTTGGTCAAAATACGATAATAATTCATCACTAAAAATCTAATTTCATCGCTAAACATAAAACAATGACACTTTTGACAACTTAAATATTTTGTTCTTAAAAAGTAATTTTATTCATAATTTTTGTTTTTAAAATCTTAATTTGTAATGATTTCATGTTTGCCACTATGTGACAAACAATTTGGTGATTTTTTTAGAGAGTAACAATTTGGATTTTTATTGAAAAGACCTTAGCATTGTTTGATTGTATTCCTAATGCATAAAGCATTTTATAATATCTAGATATAATGGATTAAAGCAAATAAAAAGGGTATTGATAAAGCATACCTTTTCATTAAACAAAGATTGTGCCTGGCTAGAAGAATTTCCTTCAGATGCTGTCATCTTCTCCACTTTGGGGTAGAAGCTTATGAGCTTGGGTAGATTCTTGAGACGCAAATATTTCAACTGACTGAAATTAATTACCTGACTTGAGAGTTCATCTTCATCTTTTTCTTCTTCAATTCCAACTATTGCTTCCATCATCTTACAACCAATTATTTGTAGTGTCTGAAGTCGTGGAAATCCTCTTGCACAGGGCAGGGAGAAGAGATATTTCAACCTACAATCTGCGATTGTTAATTCAATTAAATTATTGAAGAACCCTGATGGGTTTAATCCATGACGTTCCATCAAATACCCCTCTTCACCTCTGTTATGCAGCACCTCTTGTAAACCTTCAATTTTTTCCAAATGTAGTTCTTCGGCTCTCATCAACAAAATGATTAACTTGTCCATTAAGGTAACACCCGCAAGTTTACACGACTTTGAATAAGTTCTAGAAAAATCGTACTCCTTACCCATTGATATTTTAAACTTGATCAAGTTTTCAAAGCAGGAGTCCTTGGGCAATAGCATGACATTTGGTATGTGAATCTGTAAAGTGGTTAATTGCGTCAATTTCCCCAACTCATCAAGATTCACTTTGCTTCTTTCCTCGTTGCCTCTTGTGGCCTCCCATGGTGTCAAATTATCTAAAATGTACAATTCTTCCAGGCGAGACAAATTGGATATGACACCTTGTGGAATCACTGTGAGCTGGTAACATTTTTCCAGATCTAACAACCGAAGATGAGTCAATTGTCCTATCTCTGATGGCAAAACCTCGATATTAGAACCTCGAAGGCTAAGTATTTCAAGGTCATTATTTAGATCCTTGAGTATAGCTATGTCTCCCAACTCACAATCATGTAACCATAACATCCGAAGGTTAACCAAATTTGCAAGAGATAATGGAGGCAACATACAGATTCTATTCAATTCTAAAATTGTAAGTTTCTCCATTCCACTGAAAAACCTATCAGGAACATTAAGCAAAAGATACTTGCTGATATTCCTTTTCGATAGTATACTCAAGGTGTGGAGTTGTGGACATAGCAAATAATCCGGAAGCTCAAGAGTGTTGTCGAACCTTAATGAGATTGCTGAGTAAGATTCGCATGTATCTTTCTCGGGCCACTCTTTGACACCAAGTTTTACTAGAATTTCCTTACCATCATCTTTTGCAATTGAAACGGCAACATCTCGAATGACATCATGCATTTTGACAAAGTTTTCATATTTGCCTTCTAATAACAAACAAGCATCTTTGAGGATATCAACCACTGTAAGTACTCGACGGCTTGCTCTTCTTAATGTATTTGTGTTTTGTCCAAGCAAACTTCTCGCTATGCAATGTCTCGCCAACACCTCAATTGAAATATTAGTATCTTCAGGAAAGAAACAACATAGCAAGAAGCATGATTTTGCATCACTAGATTCTAACCGATCATAGCTTAACTTTAAGGAAGCATACACCTTTGGGTCAATTCCCGCAATATTCTTTAGCATGGAATCTTTGAATTGATCAAGTACATCTTCCCAGACATATTTTTTCTTATCTTTCAATGCGGCTCCAACTGCAAGTATAGCGACCGGCAAGCCTCCACACTCTTTACAGACTGCATCAGCTATATCATGGAGTTCAGGAGAGTCAACAGAATTTCCCGCCTTCATCTTGAATAGGGCCCATGCTTCTTTCTCTAATAATACTTGCATTGGAATATATCTATCAACATGCATCTTTTCCAACACACCTCGGATTCGAGACGTTATCACAACTTTGCAACAATTGTTTCCGTTAGTGATAGGAATCCCTATTGTCTTCAAGTTCAATTCTTGCCACATATCATCCAATATAATGAGATTTTTCTTCCCATTGTTCAATCTATTCCACAATTGGTTTGCTTTTCCCACTTCAGTTTCCCCTTTTAGTTCCAGATTCAAGCGATCAGCGAGTTGCCCTTGAATATTGCTCACATTTGCGTCCTGAGAGACAACTGCCACCACAACTTCATCAAAAAGTCCATTTTTCACTTGTTTGCCAATCTCTTCGACCATTGTCGTCTTACCAACGCCTCCTGTTCCATATACTCCAATCATTTTAACATTGGAATCTTGTAATGCCACCATGATGTTATTGAAAACCAATTCTCGCGATTCAAAATTTGCATAGTTTGCACTTGATGATGGGAATTGAAGTTCTTGAGCAAATGGCTTAGGATGTGCAACTATGCTAAAATTGCCACTCTGAGTGAGATTTTTTACTTCTTTCATCTTGTTTTCGGCTTCCTTGCTCATTTGGTAGCGCGAGATGTAATCCGGACATGAGAATTTAAAGCACTGCATGTTTGCGTTAATAGTATTGTCATCCTTAATTTTCTGAACTCTTTCTTCCACCTCTGCTAGCCAGTTTGAAACAGGTTCATCAACTTCATCACCACGAGTAATGGCTTCATCAACTTTTTCTTCGATTTGTTTTCTCTGCTCTTCAAGGTTTTTAATTTCAACTTCCAATTTCTTCTGCTTCTTCTTGTACTGAAAAACAAAACCAACGTGGAGCACCACTAATTGGATCACTGGCTCAACTATTCTCCCTGCAATTGCCCCTACAATTGAAAATACACCTTGCAGGGCACTCATTTTCAATCCACCTTTTCTCTTTCTTTTTTTTCTTTTTTTCTTTCGACTTTTGTTTTTTTTTTTTTTTGAAACAAATATTGAAGAAGAAACTAGTTTGAGATTCGAATTTCAAAGGATAAAGCTCTATCAATCTGTATCTGCAGGTAAAACAAAAGGAGAGATATCAAAGAAGAGAACTAAAAAGTGAAGATAAAATTCTCTCTTTTGCTGATTAGAAAAATGAAAAACAAAAAAGAAATTAACATTAACTATGTACAAAGAGTTAATTATTTAAAAGCCCTATTTACAAATATTATGGTAGCTCAGATTTTATCTAATATTTTTGAACCAATAAGTCCTATTTAATAAAACTGAGAATATTATTATTTTTTCCCAATTTATAAAACAAACAACATTATCAATTTTGAATAACAATGTTCTAGATAGTTGTTTCACTGACTGATAAAAAAAAAACAGAGCATAGGATTAAACATTTTTGCCCTTCTATTTATTGGTTTGATTCAGCTATTCAATAAAACCGAGAACATTATCAGTTTTTCCTGATAATATTATCAGTTTTTTCATTTTTAAAGTTTTTTTTTCAGTTTTGTACATCAATGTTCCATCATCATGCTCCTTTATAAACACAAAATTTCCAGTTTTATACAAAAATAATAATTCAATTTTTTCAAAAAAAAAAACATTAGTTTTTTTTTTTTTTTCATTCATATTTTACCCCTTTTTTTTTTTCTTTTCTAAATCTCTCTCTAAATTTGTGAATCAAACAATGTTTAATGTACATTGATCTCTCTACCAAAAACTTCCTTTTTTTTTTTTAATTCTGAAAATATGATAAACACAAGAGAAACACTTGAGGAGAGATGGGAAATTGTAGATACTACATAAAGCATTCACAAATATTTGTACATTAATAATCATAACAAAATAGAATCCATTTAAGTGTATGAAAATTTAGTGAAAAGCCTCTTTTCAAGAATTTGTTTAGTCATAAATATTATGGAAATAAAATGTGATGCGATAAATTCTATATATGTATGAAATTGTATATTAGAAATCCTTTTGTTGAAATTAGATGTTTTTTTATGACAATTTTATCTTTATTTTGGTCAACATGCTTATATATATATATATATATTGAACAGTTAAAATCAATTGTTAATTGTTAGATTATTACCTATGAGAGTTAACATTTTCATCCTTTACAAAGTCAAGTGTTTGCCTCTTTAATTTAACTCGCTTAAGGAGATTTAAACCTATGACCTCCCTACGGACTAAACCCAATTAGGAAAGCCATAGTATCCAACTAGGCTAAGCCTAGTTGATTAACATGCTTATATGAAAGACTTCTTTTTTTTTTTTCTTTTTTTTAATGTTTCAAAACTTTAAAATCTTACAACTTTTAAAATATACATCTATTTTATTTAAAAAAAAAAAAAAGATTTTCTATAGGGAAAATTTTATTTTATTCTCTTGTGATTTGACACCAAAGCACTTTACCCTTTCAAAAATAACCATTAAGATCTCATGTGATTTTGAACTAAGGTGCAACCATTAACATAGTTAACTAGAGATGTAAAATGACTGTAATACCCTTTAATACACATAGTTTATAATGTTTAAACATTAATTCAATCAAAACACAAGTAATTTTAAATTCTTAATCATTTATTGTAATTCTTAAATTTTTATTCTGATTTTAATAGTTATATTTTAAATCACAATTAATCTTAAATATTTAATTAGTTATTGTAATTGCTAAATTTTAAATCTAATTTTAAATTAATCTAATTTTAGATCAATTTCTAGTTATTATGTATTTTATATTGTTACTTAAAATATTTAGTTATATTTTGTATTTTAGATTAATCGTTAATTATATTTTATTTTATTTTGTTTTAATTGACATATTAATCTTTTTTGTATTTATTTTATTTTATTTTTTCAGAAAACTAAATCCATTTTAAAATAGTGTGTGTGATACACTTTCCATCAGTTTGAATGAAAAAACTAACAGCGACACTTTAATCCTTCAAAATCACATGGGAACGTTCGGATTATATTTAAATCATTGGAGGTGAAATGAATTTAATCCCTTTTTTTTTATAACTACTCAGCGAGATCGTTCTCAATTAAATTCAAAATTATGTAAAATGTAAAAAAAAAAAAAAAACTTTTTTAGAATTTGAAATTGTGAAAAAAATTTCACTTATAAAATTTCATACTTTTGAGAAATATTTTGTAATGAGACTCATCTTAATTTTGTAATAGGTGTGAATGTTGTAAACCTGAACATTGATAGTACTTTTAATTATTAAGATATTATTAACTTTTAGAAAGTATGAATACGTTTAAAAAATATTCACACTCTTTAAAATTTTATATTTTCTAATTTATTGAATGTGTGAATAGTTGTATTTTTTTAAAAATTCCCGGGTAAATTACAATTTGCACCCTTGCAGTTTGCACCAAATTCCACTTTAGCTCTTATACATGAAATCATGACAATCAAACCATTACACTTCTAGTAAATCTTTTGGTCCCTGCACATGAAATCGTGATAGTCAACCCTTACATTTCTAGTCAAGTATCAATGTCCCCCTTTTGTTACTCTACCATATAAATCTTTAATAGAGGTTAGTACGTAATGCGACAAGCATATATGACTACAAAATAAGGGCAAAAGAGGAAGATCACCCATATTTCCCGCCTATACACATCCCAAAATTTACATCATATTTATATTCGACTAAAACAAAACGCTAATTATGAACTATTAAAGAGACAAATTAGGGTTTTTTTTTTTTTTGTAGAAATTGAAATCACGAAACCGTGTTTTTCACAGTAATACGGTCTTTTGTCTATTCCTCTTCCCTATTCTTTGATTTCTCTACTACCTTTATTTATTTCAAAAGAATTTTGTTTTCTTTACTCTTTGTCCTAATTTTCAACATACGAACATATACATACATATATATTGTATTATATAAAAATAAGGACAATTTTCTTCTATTGTCCTCATTTTGTAGTCATATACTTGTCATAAGATTGAATTCATGTTAAAGACTTAAACAATGGAGTAATAGGAGACATTGACACTTGACTAGAAGTGCAGGGGATTGATTGTCACGATTTCACGTGTAGGAACCAAAGTGAGATTTGACCAGAAGTATAAGGGATTAACTATCACGATTTCATGTGTAGGGATCAAAGTGAAATTTAGTGCAAAGTATAGGGATGCAAAGTGTAATTTACCGGTGAATTTTTGTGATTTTCACTATTAATCCTAACAAAATTAGACAAACTTTTAATTGGCGAATTGAAAATAGAATAATTTGAAATTATTTATCCAAAAAAAAAAAAAACAATTTGAAATTAAAATTGGTTTGTTCACCCCTCTTGGCCGAAAATCTATTGACTCCAATATTTCATAATTATGTATTCTATGGTCATTACCAAATTTACATTATATTTTCTTCCTCGTGATTTGAGATTGGAACATTTTAGCTCTCCGCATTGTTCAAATATAGTAAGAAAGCTCCCATATAATTTTGAACAGAAATATAATTGTTAGCTTCGTTAATTATAAATGTGAAATGATTGTAATAACCTTAAATCTTATGTAATGATTTGAATGCTAATACGTATTGGAATTGGTGTAATTGGTGTCCGTCACCTTAAAACTTGCATGGTTGTCAAACTCTTAGTATTGATGGGTTGACAAGTGAACCTTAAATATTATAATTGAGGACCCTTGGGTGATGTTTGGAACCTACACTACGCCAAAACAGGGCATTAACGGCAGTTTTTTTAACGGCGGTAACGAAAACCGTCGTTAAAGGTATTATTAACGGCGGTAACGAAAACCGTCGTTAAAGGTATCATTAACGGTTTACTTCGAAGAATTTTACTTTCAACAAGAAACCTAAAAGCAGGTCTTCAATCCTCTTGAAGTAAACACATATCTGGGCACTCCTGTACTTTTAGGTATGAAATGTGCTTCGATGTCAACTTCTTACTTTCAAAGCTCTAGATGAATGTTTGTCACCTGATTTTGGCGCCAAAGCTTGGCTTCGAAGCCAAACATTTGATTTCGAAGCCAATATTAGTATTTGAGATACGTTTCCCTCCCAAATTATCAACAT